ATGTCTGTTTGGCAAACTTTCTTAAATATTTTTGGTTTTAAAAATAGCTTAAACGCCGGCACCCATGTTCATCATCAGTTCAAAAAGGGTCAATTTATTTTTAAGGATTTTTTTTTTTAAATAATTAAACATTAGAGTGACTAATTTTAAACATTATTTAACAAACAATTTAGTTTTTTTTTTCTTCTAAAACAAAAGAGAAATCTTTTTTTTCTTTTTTATAAAAAAAAAAAATAAATTTTCAGCAAAACTTTCGAATTTTGCTTTGGCCAACTTAAGACTTATGTGAGTTGCAAATATAAGCGCCACGATCAGTTAGAAAAGAAACTCTAATACTAGATGATTATGTCATGGTTCGACAATCTATCGCATAAACACACTTTGTTCGTTAAAAATAAATAGTTTAGCAATCACTCATTCATTTATTCATTCATTCAGTCTTTTTTTTTTTTTTTTTGTTTTATTTACACGCTCAAATTATGTTGTTTATTGATTTTGTTGGGGCTGTTGTTGTTTTTTTTTTAGATTTTGCAAAATTTACATAAATTATTTAAATTTGCTTGGTTGTTTTGTTTAGAAAATTATTTTAATAAAAATAGTTTAAAATAGTTATGTTTCGATTATAAATTTTATTTAGTTTTTATTTAAAATTGTTATACATAAAGTTGTTTTTATTTGAAAATTTTAAGACACCTCCACTTTACAGCTGAAACTATTAAACATAACGAAAACTAGTCAAACAGGGCCATGTACAACCACACATTTTACCAAAAACAGAAAACTAATAATTGGTTACAAATACATACTTTTTTTATGGAAAATAATAATAATAACGATGATGTTGTTGGTTAATAATAATGATGATGATGATGACAAGAGAAAACTATGTCCAGCAAGTGTTTAAATACAGGGTATCCAAACGAAAGATCAATTAGTTAGAAGATCAAGATCACCTTTATAGATCTTTTTACTTTTGAAATTTGCCCAGTTTTTTAAGCATGATGACAGAACTCATTGATCGTGTCAATTCAAGCTAAATTTACTAAAGTCTGCACAATATTATGTCTAATTTTTAAACAACCAATTCCACGATCGATCGATCACCAGCTTTTATAGTAGATCACAAGTTCATTAGTAAACTTCAGATGTAGTGAGGATTGTCGCTTCAAAGATGTCTGATTTTAACCCATCTAGATCCAACAACATTAACAAAATTTCAACATTAAAGTGTTAATAAATTATCCTCAAATGTCTCGAGTGTGATCACTACTGGAATATTTGATTATAACTTATATTTTTTTATGAAATATACAGATAATATTCATTCTAGTCTTTTTAGAGTATAAAGACAGAATTTATCGATCGTGCCTAGTATTAAGATACAAACTTAGTGTTCAATAACTAATCTTATTTTTAATAATCAACGATTGAAAAACTGTAGATATCACAAATGGTTTAGTAATCCTCAGTTGTAGCGAGTGTGATGATCACTGGATCATTTGAATGTTTTTTGAAGAATATTAAAAACTTTCAAGATCCAAAGAATGTTCGTTCTAGTCTTAGTGAGAGCATTAGTACATAATTCATTGATCGTGCCAACGATCGAAATAAATTCACAATATTTGTATTTAATATTTGGTGTTATTTCCAATATCCAATATCGCGATCGCTCATAAATGAATTAATAATCTTCAGATGTAGCGAGTACGATCACCTCTGGGACACCTGAGTCTAAGCGATCTTTTTTATGTCTATGCTAGCCTTAGTTAGATCGACATCAGGTCTTATTTGCTCGATCGGGTCTTATTTTCAACATTAAATTCCACAATCGATAAGGTTTTACATGCGATCATAAGGATATAAACATTCCTCATATGTATCTTGCTAACACTACTGGAACATTTGATGCTATTTGATCTTTTTTAAAGAATATTAAGCACTTTCATGATCGAAATAATGTTCATAATAGTCTTAGTTTAAGGAGCATAAGGACAGAATTCATCGATCGTACAATATCCAATTCCACGATCGGAAAACATTAGATAAGATTATATTCGATCACAAGCCCGATTTTGCAAAAGTCATCTGGGTTTAACCGATCTTTTTTAAGGATTATTAACAATTTTCAAGATCCAAATAATGTTTATTCTGATATTAGTTAGATCGTTTGGATAGAATTTATCGATCATGCCAACTATAAAGGTAAATCCTCAAAATCGGTGAGTATAATTTTTACTAGTGCATCAGATTCTAACCGTTCTTTGTTACGGAATATTAACCATTTTATAGGGATTTCAGAAAATTAGTCATTCTTCTAAAGTCATTGTGAAGCCTCATTCTTCTCTGAACCCCTGGAATGGGTTAGTATTGCTTGAGTTGTCTATATTCAAAAGTAAAGCTTTTCTCAAACTCCATGTCAACTTCTTCACTTTCTATAGTGACGTAGAAGTTAGGAATCAAGGGTTACAACTCTATTTTAGTTTCAAACGAGGAATAGCATTAATTCAATCATTGATCTTTTAACTTCTAGCGTTTGTCTCACAAAATTTACTTAATTTCCAAATCCAACAACTAAGCACCATCTGCATCGATAACAAAACTTTTCGTAAGTGCCAAGCAAAGTCCGTTTAACATTCAAAGTTTATTGTGTGTATGTTTTTCTTGTGAATTTTACTGTGGGTGATGCCATTATCAATTTCACACTAATCTAATGCCTCTATAGGTCTGTGGTGTTTCTAAATTAATAGAAAAAAAAAACTGATAAGAAATCCAAATTGACATCTTCTTCCTAAGGCGATTAAGTGACGCAAATTATTTGTTTAGTTTGTACACTGCAGAGGTAGGCAGATCATATTTGGTTGGTGAAAAGGTTTGGCATCAAACTGAGCAAGTTTTAAAGTAAGATGTTGAACTTAATACTTAAAGAATTCATTGTGGACTCGTTCAACTCCAGCAATGTTCATTAGTCAAAGACATAAGGGTGTAGTTTGGGAGATCTCCAGATATTGCCCGCCAGAACAAGTTAAAATACTTACTCAATACTCAATTCCAGCAATATTCATTAGTTTAAGACATACGCTCTAGTTTGGGAGATCTCCAGATATTGCCCGCCAGAACAAACAAAAATACTTTTGCTCTCACTGATCTTTTATGTCAAACAGCTGATCTTTGATCAATAATGTTTCAATTTGATCATGAGTATTAAGATTGGAATTAGATGTTATTAATTAGATGTGTTTATCCTAAATGAGATCACATAAAGATTATACTTACACTCACTACAAGATCAGTCTAAGATGATCTTATAGTGTTCCTAGGGACATCTCCGGAGTTAAGCTTGAATCGAATATGTTGAAATTTTAGGGATATATATTTAAAGAGAATATAAAAGAAGAGGAAAAGGAAAGGCATTTCCCATTTCACTGATCTAGACGATCGGAAGACAGATCTTCGTTTGTGTATGTTGCAATTTCAGATGATTTGAATGACTAGCTTAGACGATAATCATAGAGAATAATCAGTACCATGACCAATCTTATGGTTATAGTGTTCCTAGGGACATCTCCGGTGTTAAGCTTGAATCGAATATGTTGAAATTTAAAGGATGTATAATAGAAGAGAATATAAAAGAAGAGGAAATTGGAAAGGCATTTCCCATTTCACTGATCTAGATGACCTGAAGACAGATCTTCATTCGTGAATGTTGCAATTTCTGATGATTTAAATGACCAAGTACTTGACACATTACAATTATTAGCTTAGAGGACCAATCTTATGGTTAGTGGAATATCACTCACTAAATGATCAATCTCTAAGAAGATCTCCGGATATTTCTCTTCCGAAAGTTAAGCTATAGGTAGGTAGGTTTTCAAACAAAATGTTGAGGATGTATTAGAGAAAAAACTCTCACTGATCTGGATAAACAATAAGCAGATCTTCGCCCATAGTGAGATTTAGCATCTCTACAATTGCTGATCGACAACGCAATTTAAGCGATCGTAATGATATGAAAGAGACTTCCTCTGATCCTCCGGTTAGCCAATAAGCAGATCTTCAATTATGAATATTGTAATTCGGTACACAAAGTCCAAGAAATACAGGTTTGATCATGATCATCTATCTATATTAAGATCTAGTTCACGGTATGATCGTTTTGCAGAAATGAAATTGAATGCAATTTGACTGATAGTTTCAAGTCAGTGTAGGGTGTATTTCAAATTCCTCATTAACCAATGAAAAAAACAAATCTTGTTTTCTTTTTGAAATCTATTTACATTGTTATTGCTGCCTTTTGCTGGTGTGAAGCAATTGATTTTATATTTTTGATCTCTATTTATATATTATAGCAAATTTCAAAATACATCCATTTCCAAATACGATTATTCCTCTTTATAGAGTATGTAGTTCAAAAACAACTGTATAGAAGTGCAGCCACATTATTGCTACATAACAAAATTGGAAAAAAAAATTAAACAAAGTACATGAAGTACTAAACTGCACTGAAGTTCATAAAATAATTAAATATACTTAGAGAATGTGTGTTTAGTTTTTAAGTTGTTAACAAATTTTGAATGGATGATTTCAAAAATTCCTAACATTGGTGCTGCTGCTGCTGTTCCACTATAAATTTATTGACGTGTGTTTGTTGGGCGTTTAAATTTAATAAACAAAAAAAAAATCAAACGAAAAAATTAGAGCCCAATTTCGAAAAAAAAAACAACAACAGAAAAAATGCTGTATGTTGGCGTAAAATTTTTTCAATGTGTTGGCTGTTGGCCGGTCAAAATGATGCAATTGTTGTTTTGTCTATTTCTATCATTTGGCTTCATTATGAACACTCACTGTCAGGCCTTTACTTTACCAAACCGCTTTGAAATTCACCAACAAGAAAATGGAGAACAAGCAACTCTTTACCTTAGGTTACTTCTCATTTAACTTATAAGTTTGTTTTACATGAAAAAATATATTAATTTTTCTTTTTAATTGTTTCTTAATTGCAGTGAGGTGTTAGCTGCCTGGCGTGCCAAAGCAAGATGCAATGTGGTACCAGCCGAACGCACACAAGAACTATTTCAGGAGTTAAGTTTTCATCCCAATGACAAGCAAAGTAGGTTCATATTATTATTTTTTCTTAAACAAAACTAATTTATAAATACTTTTCCTTTTATCTGCAGTAAGCGATATGTTGCAAACAGCTAAAATGTTGGCTCGCAAAGGCAGCCGACAATCAAATGGTTTAACATTTGGCGAATTTTGTGTTTTAGCAGCAGATCTTAAAAGATTTCGGTATTTTTTTTTTACAAACAAAATTTTCCTTCTTTTGCATAAAATAATCTTTTTTTTTTTCTAAAATAGAACATCTTCATTTGGCTCTACATCGCCTGGTTACTGTGACAAACCTAATTTACTGGGCTCTCTACATAATGATGATAATGGTGTGGCTGATAATACTGACAGCGAGAATACAGCCTCTGCCACTACAAAAACAACAACTACAGCAACTACAACTAAACATGATACCAGCACCCATACAAATACAAATTGCAGCTTTCCGGGAAATGAGTTGCGCAGTACAAAATCTTTAAGTAATGTGGAAGACTGCAAAAGAATTGGCAAACAGCGTAAAACCAGCGAAAATACCTCTGCACCCGTTGAAGTGTTTTTGGGTGGCTCTTGTAATCCCACAACATGGCGTGCTGATGTAGCTATACCTGCTTTAAAAGAACTAGGCATTTCATTCTACAATCCGGTTAGTATTCAAAATATTCCCCTTACTTTCTCAAAATAACAAAGTTCTTTTTATTCTCTATACAGCAAGTTTCCGATTGGACGCCAGATCTCATTGAATTGGAACATCGTGCTAAGGAAAAAGCGCGTGTCTTATTTTTCGTTATGGATTCAGAAACTCGCGCGTCTGCTGGTGCCATTGAGGCGGCACATATAGCGGGTCAAAACTGCAAGCAGCTGGTGCTGGTGCTGCATCCGTATAAACCGAATCAGAGTATACTCAATGAGCGTATATCACAACAGTATGTTATCGGTTGCTTTTAAGAAAATCCTTTCCATTTATTAATTTTGCATTTTGATTTTCAGGGAATATATTGATCTAACTCGCAATCAACAGATTTTACGCGAATTGGTAACGCGCCGTGGATTGCCCGTGCTCAGTAATATACCTTCTGGTCTCCAGCGTACTAAGGAAATTTTAGCCGGTTTTAGGGATCCTCCATCGAATATAGCTTCAATATTAGTGTAAGTATAAGTTTATGGAGAACTTTTTCAATATACAGTAACTCGAACCGAACTAGAACAGAAGTATAACTAGAACTGAATTGGAACTGATGTACAACTAGAACTGAACTAGAACTGAACTAGAACTGAACTAGAACTGAACTAGAACTGAACTAGAACTGAACTAGAACTGAACTAGAAGTGAACTAGAACTGAACTAGAACTGAACTAGAACTGAACTAGAACTGAACTAGAACTGAACTAGAACTGAACTAGAACTGAACTAGAACTGAACTAGAACTGAACTAGAACTGAACTAGAACTGAACTAGAACTGAACTAGAACTGAACTAGAACTGAACTAGAACTGAACTAGAACTGAACTAGAACTGAACTAGAACTGAACTAGAACTGAACTAGAACTGAACTAGAACTGAACTAGAACTGAACTAGAACTGAACTAGAACTGAACTAGAACTGAACTAGAACTGAACTAGAACTGAACTAGAACTGAACTAGAACTGAACTAGAACTGAACTAGAACTGAACTAGAACTGAACTAGAACTGAACTAGAACTGAACTAGAACTGAACTAGAACTGAACTAGAACTGAACTAGAACTGAACTAGAACTGAACTAGAACTGAACTAGAACTGAACTAGAACTGAACTAGAACTGAACTAGAACTGAACTAGAACTGAACTAGAACTGAACTAGAACTGAACTAGAACTGAACTAGAACTGAACTAGAACTGAACTAGAACTGAACTAGAACTGAACTACAACTGAACTAGAACTGAACTAGAACTGAACTAGAACTGAACTAGATCTGAACTAGAACTGAACTAGAACTGAACTAGAACTGAACTAGAACTGAACTAGAACTGAACTAGAACTGAACTAGAACTGAACTAGAACTGAACTAGAACTGAACTAGAACTGAACTAGAACTGAACTAGAACTGAACTACAACTGAACTAGAACTGAACTAGAACTGAACTAGAACTGAACTAGAACTGAACTGAACTAGAACTGAACTAGAACTGAACTAGAACTGAACTAGAACTGAACTAGAACTGAACTAGAACTGAACTAGAACTGAACTAGAACTGAACTAGAACTGAACTAGAACTGAACTAGAACTGAACTAGAACTAGAACTGAACTAGAACTGAACTAGAACTGAACTAGAACTGAACTAGAACTGAACTAGAACTGAACTAGAACTGAACTAGAACTGAACTAGAACTGAACTAGAACTGAACTAGAACTGAACTAGAACTATACTAGAACTGAACTAGAACTGAACTAGAACTGAACTAGAACTGAACTGGAACTGAACTAGAACTGAAGTAGAACTAGATCTGAACTGTACTAGAACTGAACTAGAACTAAACTAGATCTGAACTTGAACTAAACTAAAACTGAACTAGAACTGATCTAGAACTGAACTAGAACTGAACTAGAACTGAACTAGAACTAAACTAGATCTGAACTTGAACTAAACTAGAACTGAACTAGAACTGATCTAGAACTGAACTAGACTGAACTAGAACTGAACTAGAACTGAACTAGAACTGAACTAGAACTGAACTAGAACTGAACTAGAACTGAACTAGAACTGAACTAGAACTGAACTAGAACTGAACTAGAACTGAACTAGAACTGAACTAGAACTGAACTAGAACTGAACTAGAACTAGAACTGAACTAGAACTGAACTAGAACTGAACTAGAACTGAACTAGAACTGAACTATAACTGAACTAGAACTGAACTAGAACTGAACTATAACTGAACTAGAACTGAACTAGAACTGAACTAGAACTGAACTAGAACTGAACTACAACTGAACTACAACTGAACTACAACTGAACTAGAATTGAACTATAAGTGAACTAGAACTGAATTAGAACCAAACTAGAGCTGAACTCGAACTAGAACTGAATTCGAACTAAACTAGAAAATAACTCGTGAACTCGAACTTTCTTATTATCATTCTTCTATCTTTGCGTGATCTCTTTATATAACAAATTATCTCCTTTACAGTGTAATACGTGGTGCTTTTGATCGTGTCAATCCCATTTACGATCTAATCACTGTTGAACAGTGTCAACAAGCTCTCTTATATTTGGGCTATGCTCAAAGTCTTGTTAACATGGACAATTTAAATAAAATCATTGCGGCTCAACGGGAAGCTCTAGGAGCTCTAAACGATGACAAGAACAGCATTAATAACAAACATAGTACAAACTCTCAAAAACCTAAAAACAGCAACACCAACCCCACAACATGTGCTCAACAACAACAACAAAATCCTAAAATCAATAGCAGCTCTCAATTGGATCATTTAGATTTCAATCTATTCTGTGTTATATCGGCCTATTTATCGGTACTGCAGCAGGAAATACATGAAAGTGGCTGCATTTCACCTATAAAAGGAACCAATGTACCACCACCACCGGTGTATTTATCAAATTTGCAAGGTAATTAGGGAGATTAAGGAAATAGCTAAGAATATTTGATTAATTTAGTTTTTTCTTGTACTAGGTGAGGACTCTTTCGCTATAAGCTATTTCAGCAAAAATATTTCACGCACTTCCAGCAATACTAGTGTGCCCAGCAGTGAGGAACGTGCCCTTAACTTAAATGATCTTTTAACGCGCAATCGTGACAGTGGCACCTCATCGCCGCAGCCCATAGAACCTTTACGCTCTCGTTCCCAAGCTCAATTAGGTAATGCTAAACCACATGTTCTACTGAATGTAGAAACTATTGAAACCACTGAAGTAACCACTACTCAAACCCTACAACCTCAAACTTCGGCTTTCACAGCTCACTCGCCGCTCAACATAGATAATACTGCACATGCTAGCGCCGTTACGGAAGAGGAAAGTGATTCTAATGACTCGGTATTCTCCAGCAGCAGCTCGATTAATTCCATTAATTGTTGTGATCCAGCTTTGGCCTATAATATGCCTGATTTCCGTGAGGTCTACTTGGGAGGCAGTTGCGTTTTACGCACTAAATGGCGTCAAGAGCTGGCGGTACCTTATTTAAAGTCTAAAGGAATTTCCTATCATTTACCCTCACTACATGAATCCATCAATCCTAGTCATTTGGATTTACCCGAGAGCAAATTACAGCAGCAGCAGCAGCAGGAGGAAGAAGATATGGCGAGTACTTCTGCAGCAACGGCCAGTTGGAGAGTGCGTAGACAGCCCACAGCAACGGCAGCTAATTTTATGCGTACACGACGAAAATGTCGCACCAATAGCGGCACTAAAACGGCCGAAGAAGTCGAAGAGGTGACCATAGCTGAGGAATCTCTTAGTTGGACTTTGTCACCGGTACGTACGAATCTCTTTAATCCCTCAATTCTGGACTCCAGCCGGGTATTGCTGTTTGTGATCACTAACGAAACACGCTCTCTTGCTCCCATGACACTGGCAGCTCACTGCATTGGTCTCATGTACAATGTAGTGTTGGCTGTACAAATGTTACCCAATGACTGTGTTATTGGTAATGAAAAGGTGAGTTTTGGAAGCGTTTTTGCCATAAAGAATTTTTGTTGAATTTTTCTTTCTTTCTCTTCTTGCTCTAGCTCACTCCAACCGCCATTAAGGATTATAATCGTGGTCGTTCCTATTTAATTGATTTAGCCAAACGCCAGGGTGTACCCGTTTTCAATGATATTAAGGCAGCTTTAGAGTGTACCGTTGAAAAGATACAATCCTATAATTCCAGACGTTATGAATGAATGACACTGCAGGGCAGTTTCCTTCAGACAACAAAAGATTATAAACCCATTAAAAAATACTTGACATTTAAATAGTATAACCCCAACAACAATAACAAAAATTTATAATTTTTTTTTTTAAATCCAATATTAGAGTTTTTATCTTAAGTTTTAGTTAATGATTTTTTTTAAAGAAATTTCAAACATTGTTGTTTTATGAGAAATTTTACATTTACCTACAACAAATGCCTTAATTGTAAATACTAACTTTTAATTAAATTTTAATTTTAAATTTACTTTTGGGAGTTTTTCTTTAATTTTAACAAAAAAAGCTAATTTTTTAGGAAATAGTTTAAAAAAGCTTAAAAATCTAAAATTAACTAGTAAATCCTTACAAAAACAAGAGAAAACCTTAGCCCAGGCAATTTATTATAAACAAATTATTAGATAAATTTAGAAAATGCTAATAAATTAAAAACAAAAACAAACAATTTAAGAAATAAAATAATTAAATAATTTTAAAACCAATAAACTCAACTCTGTTAATATAACACCTAAAAATAGGCAATAGTTTTTGCCTTAGAAAGTTAGCAGTACTTTAAGCTTTATTATGTTATAGACAAGTAAGTATAGTTGTCTCTTTCTAGCTAGTTTAATGTAAAGATCATTTATCATGTTAGTTGACAGTTCAACTAATAGAAAAAAGACAACCTTAGTGTAAGCAAGAGTTTGGGGGCCAAAGAAAAACAACAAACAAACACCAACACTATGAAGCTCTTTTCCCCACTCTTCAGCTCCAAAAGAAATCAAAAAAGAGAGCGATCGTGAGAGCATTGGCTCTGTCAAATTAAAAGCTTGATGAATAAAATACAATACAATCAATATTTCGGCTGCAAATTACCACTGACGTTGTTATTGACTCAACTGAGTAAGTGTTTTTCGAGTTTTGGTGTGGTTGGATTGGATTGTTTATAAGATCAAAAAAAAAAATATGGTGTGTTAAAGATAAACAAGTGTGAGCGTGTGTATTTTTACCGATCGCCAGACTTTTTCTGTGAGTGTTTGTGTACAATTTGTTGTTGTAGTCTGGCATTTCTATCGGTATTTTTTTTTTTAATTAAATGCAAATATTTGGCATAAACATTTACGCAATTTATCTAAAAAAAAACAAATTTAAATCAATTCAAAGAGGAGGGATATTTCAAAAGGGGCGCAGGTCTTCTAAATGACAAAGTTAAGTGTTGAAAAAATTCAGTTTTTTTTTACCGAAATGAAACCAAACCCATTGAGGACACAACTTATTTAATGACAAATATTCTGCTGTACAATTCTGTCATACGGACAGACACTATGGCAAAAATGCCTTCTTAAGAGTATTAAAAGAGAGCTGCTAACAAGATCAAAACAACCAAATGTTATCAACAGCCTAAGAGCTTAAAATTTTCATTTAATTTTTAATAAATAAATTTATGTGTAAAATTTTTTTTGTTGTTTATTTAGTTGTTACGCATTCAATTCATTTAAATTAATAAAAAATAAACACCGCAAATTGTAAATTATTGAAAAATGTGAGCGTAACTGTAAAATGCACAAAAACAACAAACGAAAATCAACGAAACCGGGGGAAAATACGAGAAAAAAAAAACATTATGAGTTTGTGAGTGTTAATTTATGCGAATGTGCTTTGCTAGTGGAAAAATAATGCCAATAACAACAACTACAAGTAATACTTTTACATACGAGGTCAATTTAAAAATTTCCTTTATTTGTATTTTAGAAAAACTTTATTCTTTTTTGAGAATATTGGCCAAACTTCGATTCAAAACTTTTAGAACAGAACTAGAACAGAACTAGAACTGAACTAGAACTGAACTAAAACTGAACTAGAACTGAACTAGAACAGAACTAAAACAGAACTAGAACAGAACTAGAACAGAACTAGAACAGAACTAGAACAGAACTAGAACAGAACTAGAATAGAACTAGAACAGAACTAGAACAGAACTAGAACAGAACTAGAATAGAACTAGAACAGAACTAAAACAGAACTAGAACTGAACTAAAACAGAACTAGAACAGAACTAGAACAGAACTAGAACAGAACTAAAACAGAACTAGAACAGAACTAGAACAGAAATAGAACAGAACTAGAACAGAACAGAACAGAACTAGAACTAGAACAGAACAGAACAGAACAGAACAGAACTAGAACAGAACAGAACAGAACTAGAACAGAACTAGAACAGAACTAGAACAGAACTAGAACAGAACTAGAACAGAACTAGAACAGAACTAGAACAGAACTAGAACAGAACTAGAACAGAACTAGAACAGAACATAACTTGAACAGTACTTGAACAGAACTTGAACAGAACTAGAACAGAACTAGAACAGAACTAGAACAGAACCAGAACAGAACTAGAACAGAACTAGAACAGAACTAGAACAGAACTAGAACAGAACTAGAACAGAAATAGAACAGAACTAGAACAGAATTAGAACAGAACATAACTTGAACAGTACTTGAACAGTACTTGAACAGAACTTGAACAGAACTAGAACAGAACTAGAACAGAACTAGAACAGAACTAGAACAGAACTAGAACAGAACTAGAACAGAACCAGAACCAGAACAGAACTAGAACAGAACTAGAACAGAACTAGAACAGAACAGAACAATACTAGAACAGAACTAGAACAGAACTAGAACAGAACTAGAACAGAACTAGAACAGAACTAGAACAGAACTAGAACAGAACTAGAACAGAACTAGAACAGAACTAGAACAGAACTAGAACAGAACTAGAACAGAACTAGAACAGAACTATAGCAGAACTAGAACAGAACTAGAACAGAACAGAACTAGAACAGAAGTAGAACAGAATTAGAACAGAACTAGAACTGAACTAGAACTGAATTTAAACTGAACTTGAACTGATCAGTTCTAGATGTATTTGTGATTTGGAACTTGTCTAGAGCTGAACTAGCTCTTTCTGTTTTAGTTCATTAAAAGAAATTATTTAGTTTTTGATTTATTTTTTTATTAATTTTGAGTTTCCCTCGTTTATTTATATACATTTGTATAGTTTATTGTATGTATAATTGTCTGTCTCAATAGCAATAACTACAACAGCAAGAAATTGAAAATGAAAAAAAACACAACTATAAGTAGCAAAAATACTACTGAACAGAGTTCAGTCAACTATAGACAACAACTGCAATGAAATTTTTCTTTAGTTTTCAAACTAACAAGATAGTAAGCGAAAAAATATACAATAGTAATGACTGACGGTGATTTTGTGGTTATACTAGTTTTAATAACTCTCAGCTAGTTAAGAGATAGACAAACGTTCAGTGCGGTAATAAATTTTAAGAAAAACGTTAAATGAATGTGAAATTTAGAAAAAATATTAAGTTGGAAAAGGAAAAAAAAACTTAAACAAATTTATAAGGTTTTTATTAAAAAAGTGAAATTTAAAAAAATGTTTGTCAAACTTGAAAAATCATAGTTTTCAAGCATAATTTTGTGACAGCAACAACTAGTTTTATGTTAAAATAACAGAGCTCCAACTGTTAAAACAACAGTTAGAGAGCTAGTGTGGAATTTAACTAAACGAGAGTCAAACAAACATCTGTTAAATGAAAGAGTCAAACGAATTTAGCTTTAACTGTTTTAATAGTAAGTGAGAGCTAGTCAAACTACATCAACGCAAGTTACGAGATCGTTCGTTCTTTTTAGACAAAAACAAATCAACAACAATAACAACAACAAATACTATATAGAAATTAACATTATTATATATACTAATATATATTAAACATAGTATAAATAAATAAATTTATATATAAAAAAAAAGAAAATATAAACATTTAAACCCACATACAGACACACATGCGTCAAGTGAGAGTAAATTTTTTTTGTGTAGATGTGTCTCAGTCAGCCTGTCTGTATGATAATTATCATGGGCCAAATGTAAGAGTAGTAGTGCGGTGAAATCAAATTTAATCAAAAAAAGCTAAAGAAAAAATATAAAAAATTAAAAAACAAAACAAATACCGACAGAAAAATACACAACAACAATAAATATTATAAAAAAAGAAACAAGAAAATTTAAAAAAAATATAATTGAAATATTAAATAAAAAAATTTTAATAATGTTTTTTTTTTTGTGTTTAATCTATTCTAAAAAAAATTGTTTAATATCTAGACAGCAACAATAACAACAAGTGTTTGTTAAAAATTTCTCAAAAAAAGAAAAACACACAAAAAACCCCAAAAAAGAGCAGAAAACAAGTTCGGAGAAGATTTTAACAAGAAAAAAAAAAAAGAAAACAAACAACAATAACTGCAAAAAAGAGGAAAAAAAAACAAACAAAAAATACCTACTACTCTCAAGAAATTAAACCACAACAACATTGTCTGTAATTGTTACGCAAATCAACAGCAGCAACAACAACAACTATAACAATCCCCAAAAATAGCAACAAAATAATCAAGAAATTTATTTTAGCAATTTATGCTAAAATTACCCCCAGTGCAATATTTAACCAAAAACATTTTAAATATTTATATCAAACGTAAGGTAAGTGGAAATTTTTCTCAATTTACTTAAAATTATGACGTGTTACAGAGTTCGATATCAAAATCTTTAATAGATATTAGAGGGGGTGTGTCCCACTAGTCCCACTCTGTATTACAAATACATACATATGTAAGCTTTTTCGTTTGCCCGGTTTGTTGTAAAGCAGGTCTTGAAAAGATTAACTTATTTCGACCCGAGAACAAGCCGAGATCGCAACCACTAAAATCTGATAATACCGTTTCAAGTCTTCAATCTAGCTTAACCCCCAAATGTTGGGTTTGTTTCTCATTCTCCTCTTGCCACTGTTTTTAAATCCGATCTCCTTCTCTCGAATGGTGTCCCTGTTTCCCTAAGAATAATTCTCGAATAGATTGGAGCTCATATGATACAGATAATTCGGTTTCTGGGTTTACAATGTAGATTCCCATGTCCGTCCTATCGCCCAGCTTAAAGTCGTACATATGTATAGCAGCATATGCCGATAATTT